TTACAGGCTGATACACCGAGCCCGACCAGCATTGTTTTTAATAGCCACAAACTATAAACAATTCAAATGTCTACCAAGAGAATAAATATATACTTTGAAGTTTGTAGCAAAATAAATATATATACTGCGAAGTGGGCAGTAAATTTTCATAGTATTTGCAGAATATGAAGGCAACCCTCTAGATACAAACATAGTTAAATAATTTAACAGTAAAAAGGAGTCTTTCAATAGGGAGCCAGAATGGGAGAGAAAAATCTTACAAAACAGATGTGTCAATTGTAAAGAGAATATTTTATTACAAATCATGTACAAATCAAGTGTCATGCTACAGGAGGTAGTGCTCAAAGGTCTCACAGATAGTTCATAAATAATTGAACATTTTGAGTCAAATATTCTAAATCATGACTGCATGGGCAGATCTATCATGGGCAAATTATAATTTCCTCAAAGTGAAATGTCACCAAAGGCTTAAAGAATGTCTTCTGGGGATCTGGGACTTTGGATCCTTTTCTCATGCTTTTGGGTTAGGAAAAATTAAATTCTCATTTGTAAATTGTCTTAAATGTAGATGAGAGTTTAAGATGAGGGAATGACCATAAAGAAATCCCTGAATGAAGGAAACACAAGTGAAGGGAAAACATTGAAAAATAATAATAATGGAGAAAAAGTAACAGAAACCTAACACAGCATAATTGGCCTGTAGAGATTTATCTCCAAGGGAAAAGAAAGTAACTTCTCCCCAGTCCCATATTTGGCCCAGCCTTTCTCTCTTTCTGGGGTAGTACTGGCCTTCTGCCCTGGAGATAAGTCAACCATGCTCAGAAGCTCTACAGTGCTTACTTAGAACCATGATCCATGAAACCAGAGTTTTCTTAACACACAGTCTCTTACTCGACTTTTAAGCCTCATGTGACAAATTGGACTGAATTTAGTTGCTGGAAAGATAAAAGTTCCATTTTGGCAATTGGTTCCAAGAAAACACATTTTGAGCAGCCAAAACTTCCTTCCTGAGGAGAAAATCTCTTCAAAAATCTCTGAGAAGAGCAACACCCAGAATACAGCTTTGACTACTTTCATAGAAATCACCAGGCTCAGCTGGTTGTGATTCCTGTGCTGCGTTGCAGCACATAGCACCCCTTAACTCCTGGAAATATGGATCAGAGGAGAGGTTTGTGCTGACCGGCTAATGCTTAAATTATGATGATTGGAGGGTATCTGAATAGCTGGCTATAAACTTCCTCTTGTTGCCAGCAGTGAAACTATGTGTGAGGATGTAGAGATAAGAAGAGCAACTTAGTCAAGTAACAGTTTGGGGAAAATGCAAACTTTCCGTGTGGCTTTTTTTTTTTTTAAATAACACTTATAATACGTGATCATAGGAAGCTTGAGTCATAATTCCAGAAAGAACAGTGATAAAGAAATTTCTTTACTATTATTGTCAGCTACAACATTGCCACCTTACTTTTGAAAATTTGTTTTTAACTTAATTACATGCCAATTTTTAACTATTTAAATATTTTTATATTGTTTTACTTTCTGCCTCTTTTAAAAGTCATTCTTTTTTACTACTAGTATGATATCCTTAATTCCATTATCCTTCCTTTTCCCCTCCCCCCAATAAACTAGAAAAAACTTGAACATTATTCCCTTTAGGCAGATCAAGAAATTAGGTAATGAGAGTTGAACTGGGAAATGGAAGTTTGTTGGCAAAGTGTTCATTCATCCCCAAGAAAAGGTACGATAAGAAAAAAGAAACAGGAAGATGATACAGAAATATGATGTGGATTTTTTTTGTGTGTGTGTGTGTTGGAGTCTCACTCTGTCGCCCAGACTGGAGTGCACTGGCTGCTCCCGGTCACCGCAGCCTCGACCTGCTGTGCTCTGGCGATCCTTCCGCCTCAGCCTTCCAAGTAGCTGGAACTACAGGCGTGCACTACCACGCCCGGCTAATTTTTTGATTGTAGAGATGAGGTCTCGCCAAGTTGCCCAGGCGGGTCTCGAACCCGCAGGTTCAGGCAATCCACTCACCTCAGCCTCCCAAGGCGCAGGATTATAGGCTGAGCCACCGAGCCCAGCTGATGAGGATTTTTTATTCTATCTCTAAATGATACATTCCTGGGCCCTTAAATGAATTTCTGGCCAAAGATCAGGGATTACTACATTTTGTCAAACTTTTAACTAATTTTTTTTTTTTTAAGAAGTGAAAGTCTCAAAATTCCAAAAGATTAGCATCAATTGGTTTTCAACAGTCTTTGTATTTGGTATCCGAGTTACACGAAGTTATCAACATATACCCCCAGTACTGTTGGTGAAATTCCTTTACATGAATTGTTTCACAGGGAATAGCAGAACTAGAAACTACCCCATTCACTTCTCAGAACTAGTTTATAAACCATCATCTGTTTATGGTCAAGTCCCATTGATGGATACCAGGCACTGATTTCTCTTTTTGAGGTGACTTGTCTTTCTCTTTTGTATCTGCAGTGTCTGCCAGTAATTTTCACTTTTTCTTTTTCATTAGGAGGAGTTTTCATCTTTGGTAGAAATTTTACAAAGTTACTTAATCTTTTGAAGTCCTAGAGTAAATTCTAAAGAGTTATAAAACATTTAGTACTTTTTTTGCCTCCCCTGGTAAATTAGATAAATTTTGTCTTGGGATAGGAATGGCATATTAAGCTTCATTTAGTCATAGATGAATGAAGGATTATCTATCTAATGCCCATGGACTTTTTGTCTTCTAGTAAATCCAAGTGTTCCAGGCACTTATCTGCAGTTAATGGCACCACTTGATCACAGATGGCAGGCAGATAATATTTAATTGGGATAGCTGAATCTGTATTTCATTTTTTTTTTTTTTTTTTGAGTTGGAGTCTCACTCTGTCGCCCAGACTGGAGTGCAGTGGCCGCTCCCGGCCACCGCAGCCTCAACCTGCTGGGCTCCGGCGATCCTTCCGCCTCAGCCTTCCAAGTAGCCAGAATTACAGGCATGCGCTACCACGCCCGGCTGATTTTTTGATTTATTGTAGAGATGAGGTCTCGCTGCCCGGGCGGGTCTCGAACCCGCGGGCTCAGGCAATCCACTCACCTCAGCCTCCCAAAGGCGCGGGATTACAGGCTGAGCCACCGAGCCCGGCTACATTTTTTTTTTTCCTGAAAGAATCATTAGAGAAACAGAGTATGTGGGAAATTGAGACTGGGCTTTGTTCAACCCATGAGGTTTTGGGAATTCACTTACGATTTGAATAACACAAGGTTACTCAGAGGTCCAAAGAACATTTTTGAATCCTAGGGCCTAGGCCCATGAGCTTTCCAAGATACTAGTATGTCATCAAGATTAGAAAGTTCAGAGATGGTACTGAGCAAACTAGATAGTATTTTTAAATATCTAATATCTAAATATCTAATATGGTTATGTGAGTCACAGAAAAGGGAGAACAGCACAAAGATGAGAAAAGACAAAGTCTTCCAAGAAGGTAAAACAGTAAAGAATTTGAGATGGGGTTAAGAGTACAGGGGGTTAAAAGAAAGAGATGCGCACTAGTCATTTCAGTGAGCTAATTCCACTTAATGATTTTCCTTCACATCATGGTCTCCAACCATAAATATCACTATTCAGGACACATACAAAAAGAATCCGTGTGAATGCACAACAAAATGACTATAATCTCCTAGTTATTGGGATAACACATTTTAGCAAGTGTCTGAGGATTTTCTTTTTTTCTCTCTCTCTCTCTTTCTTTAATTTATTTTAAAGGTGTAGGGTACAAGTCAGGATTAGGTACATAAGTAGTCTAGGTACGGGTGAAATTTGGGCCTCCCACTTGTCCTCATTTATTCTGGTTTAGGATCAGGTACCCCAAGTGATGCTGTGTGCCCCTTCCCTCCCTGGTAGTGTCCTGCTACTGCTGAACCCGCTCTTGTAGTACTGTGATAAATGTTCAGGACCCATTTATGAGTGAGAACATGTGGTATTCAGTTTTTTGTTTCTATGATAGATCACTGAGTATGAGAGACTCTAAGTCCATCCAAGTTGCTGCAAAGCCTATAACTTTGTCCTTCTTTATGGCTGTATATTATTCCATTATGTATATGTACCACAGTTTTTTTTAATCTAGTCCACTTTCACTGTTTGCAGCACTGTTGGTTCTATGTTTTTGTTACTGTGAGTAGTGCTGCAATAAATATGCCTGTGCAGGTATATTTTTTGTAGAATAATCTAACTACTTATTAGGGAAGATAGTTGATGCACCATTGATATTCGCTTGTTTCTTGACAGTCCTATCCTGCTGTTAACCCACACTCTGCTATTCTTCCACAGAAGGAGGAAAATGACACTGGGGATTCTTTCCCCTTCTCCCATCACCCTGAAGAGAGACAGGCATGTGAAGATGTTTCAAAACTGAATCTGAGAAGACAAGTAGTCATTTTTTCACTTTACTAACTCTGAAATGAAATTTGGAACATTTTCTGTCACCTAAAAATCTGTTTTATTTTTGCTACTTTTAAAGTGGAAACTCAAAATTTTCTATTATAAAAGGACAAAAATTGAGTGCCATATATTTGTAGTCAGAGAATCTAGAGTTTAAAAAATAAATTTTTAAAAAATCTTCATAATTGTTAGGGTACTTTACTGTAGATTCTGAGACAGTAAATAGGGAAAAACTGGTATGCAACAAAGAAGTGAGCTAACTCTATGATTAGGAATTGGATCTAAAAGAAGAGATTCAAGTGTCACTGTCAATCATGTTAATTCAAATGTCTAAGCATTTTAATAACATCTTCCCCACTCAAGGAAGAAAAGTTTTCTTTTCTCATTGAATCTAAGCCATATCAGTGATTTCTACTGTAGCCTAAAATCTTGAAGGAGATACATACTGTAATCTGGAAAACTGCATCATTTGATTCTAGATGACTATTTGGTGTAAATAACTTCATAAGGCCTCTGCCACCCTGAAGCTCTGCTATTTATTTACTTATAACTTATAACTCCTTAAAGACTCATGGACAGGAAAAACCAAACGTGGGTGAGTGAATTCATTCTGCTGGGTTTGTCCAGCAACTGGGAGACTGAGGTCTCCCTCTTTGTCCTGTTCTTGGCCATGTATCTGGTGACTGTGCTGGGGAACTTTCTCATCATTCTCCTTATCAGACTGGACAGCAGACTCAAAACGCCAATGTACTTTTTCCTTAGTGTTCTGTCATTTGTGGACATCTGTTATACTAATAGCACTGTCCCACAGATGCTTGTTCACTTCCTGTCAGCCTGGAAGTCCATCCCATTTCATAGCTGTGTGCTCCAGATGTTTATCTCCCTAACAATGGGTGGCACAGAGTTCTACCTGCTGGGAGCCATGGCCTATGACCGCTATGTGGCAGTGTGCCACCCGCTGCACTACACAGTTATCATGCATGAAGGGCTGTGCTTGGGGGTGACTGCTGGCTGTCTGGTGGTTGGTTTCACAAATTCACTGATGCAGACAATCATCATCTTCCAGTTACCCTTGTGTCATAAGGTCATTAATCACTTTGCCTGTGAGATGTTGGCTGTGCTGAGGCTGGCCTGTGTGGACATCTCCTTCAACAAGGTCATGGTGGCCATCTCAGGCTTTCTGGTGATTGTACTTCCCTGTGTTCTGGTCCTGTTCTCCTATGGTCACATAGTTGCTGCCATTCTGCACATTCGCTCTGCCCAGGGATGCCGCAAAGCCTTTGGAACCTGCACCTCTCACCTCACTGTGGTTTCCATGTGCTTTGGCACAGCCATCTTTACATACATGAGGCCTGCTGGTGGCTCCTCTGTTGAACAGGAGAAGATGATTGCCCTCTTTTATGCCATCATGACCCCAATGCTCAACCCCTTAATCTACAGCCTGAGGAACACAGATGTGCTAAGTGCTTTACGAAGAGTGTTGGAAAAATTTAGTGAAAAAAGATAAAGAGTCAAAGAATTTCTCTGTCCTTCCAACAGTCCAAAGGAAGACATTACAAAGGAGAAATGACTGATAAGCCCTTTCTCCAAAGATTTTTTGACAAGGTAGATCAAAGCAAGCACATTTTTGTAGATTGCCTCTCTGCATTATAGTTTTGACCATGACTCATGACCCTATTATTAATATGGTAAAAGCAAACACAATTCTTCAGTTGTTGAACTTGGATCTGCTTGGGAATCTGTCCTCTTAGACTTGACTTCCTCCCTTTATTTCAGGATGTAAATGTAATGTGGACATAGGAAAGCACTTTGGAGTGAGATCAGCCACACTCCATATCTTGACTCCACTCCTCACCAGCAATGTGGCTTTAAAAAATGTACTTTATATCCCTGACATCTAGTTTCCTCAGCTATGAAAATAAGTAAATAATCTCTAATATGTGCAATCATTTTGAAGATTATAATATCTGTAAAATACCTAGCATAGTGGCTGGCATAGAGTAAAAATTCAACAAGATTTTAAACAATACTTTCTAAGCATGATTATAGGGCTAACATTATGCAACCATCTCTCTCCCACATAATTATTCAAAATTAATGGTTTTATTATTACTGTAGATATAGTAGATTGTTGTTTTCCATCAGTTCCAGATTATCTTACCCAGAGCCATGGCATCTATCTACTCATCTACCAAATTTCTTCTAAAAACCCTAGCCTCTGAATTCTCAGGGAAGAGGATTTGAGAAATCCTTGAGAAATTTGATATTTGAGAAATCATTGCTCAGCTGCTTTGTAATATTAATCTTTCTCTATTGTAACATTTTATTCTGGGCAGCGGGCATAAGAACTCAGTCAGGCTGTAACAATATTTCAAATTGTTCACAGTAATTTATGGTTCACAATATTCTAGGTATCATTTTGGGTAAAGGCATCCAACTCCCCAGCATCCTGAGATTAGCAGCAAAATACAGGCCGGGCGCGATGGCTCAAGCCTGTAATCTCAGCACTTTGGAAGACCAGGGCTACAGAATTGCCTGAGCTCAGGGATTCAAGATGAGCCTGGGCAACTTGGTGAGACCTTGTCTCTACAATAAATCAAAAAAATATATAACCTGGGCATGGTAGCGCATGCCTGTAGTTCCAGCTGCATGGAAGGTTGAGGCAGAAGGGTTACCTGAACCCAGTAGGTCGAGGCTGCAGTGGGCTACTGCAATAACCTTCAACAAAATTCTCTGATGCTACTCTTGTATTTTAGCACTCAGAGCAATCCTTTTAAAATGCGACTCAAATTATGTCATTCCCCTCTTTACACCCTGGTTTTATAAATCCAGAGTATTCAACTGGATGTGACCCAATTTTTTCTTCCTCTGGGGTACTCCTTTCTTAAATAACCACTTCCTCAGCTCCAATTTATCATTCAATAATCATCTTTTCAATGAGGTTTGCATGAGTGATCCATTTGTTACTACAAACTTTCTAAAACCACCTCCATTCCCTCTTGCCTTGATTTATTTTTTTCAAAGGACTTATTTTTTCTACCATGCATTGCAATTCATTTTTAATGTCTATCTTCCCTTGCTTTCCAATATAAACCCCTTGAGGGCAATGCTCTGCTTTAAGAACTAATATAAGACAAGTGTCTAAAATATTGCTTATCTCATAGCAGGCACACACACAAAAAATGTTTTTTGAGTGAGTTAATCTAATTGTTAACCATTTGAGTTTCTACTGTTGTACACTGTGTGTTCATTCATTTATTTATTTTGTCAATTTTTCCTGTGGGTTTTCTGCCATTTATTTGTTGGTAGTCATAGATAATAGTCCTTCTCTGTTATAGTTATTGTCAATATGTGCTTATAACTTGTCATCTCTCTGTTAATTTTATTCATGGAATCCTTCATTGAACAGAAAGCCTGCACTTTGATGTGATCAGACTCATCAATTTTTGTCCTATAATTTGTGCTCTGGAAGTTTGCTTTTCTAAAAAAAAAAAAAATCCTATATCTAGATCAGAAAATATTGTATTTTTTATTTAATTCACTTTTTAGTATTAGTTTTCATGATCATTTCTTAGTACATCTGATGTTCACTTTTACATATGTTGTTAAATATAGATACAATGTTATTTTTCCCATATAGTGTTTCATTTATTAGACAATCCATTTTCTACTCATTTATTTGTAGTAATTTTAAAGTATATTAAGTTTATCTGTTTTGAGATCTATCTTTGAACTCTCTCTTCTTTTCTATTTGCTATGTTTTTCTACTCATATATCATGCAATTCTATTATTCCACTTTTTAAATTTCTTTGGCTTTGTAGTAAGTCTTTTACATGGTATGCAATATGTAAAATGACATGAACAGACTCATTTTATTTGCTCTTATTTTAAAAAATTAATCTAGCAATTTATAGAGTGACTTATTAAATATACATTTTTGACTAACTTTATTAATTTCCCAAAAAATATTTGCTTGAAATTTTGATTGGGTTTGCATAGAATTTGTGATTACTTTTGTAGAAGTTACATTTTTATAATGTTGAATTGTCCCATTCCAGTCATAAAATGTCTTTAAAGTTACTCAGAAAATCTTTAATGTTCTATTTATAGTTTTAATAGTTTCTCCATGTTTGTTCAACAAATATTTGTTAAGTACCTGTTATATGCCAGTCATTCTTTTAGTGAGGCAGGAGCTCCTCTGCAAAAGCAGAAATACATAGGCAAAAATCAGGAAAAAGAAAAATATGTTTCTTCTTGTTCTTATATGAGTTGCTTTACTTTTTGTTTTTATAAGTTACCCTGTTTCTTGTTTTTGTAAGTTACATCTCATTTCTTTGTATTGCCTAAGTTACTTTCTGGTTCTTTGTGCAACTCTTTTCGTGGGCTTTTCACTTTGGCGGGTTACCTGTTCAAACTTTTGGTGGAATCCAATCAGGATAGTGAATCCAATCAGGATAGTGATCTTGTAAGCCAATCAGCAAATAGGACATGCAAATGAAATAATTATGTAAAACCAATCCATGTGTAACATGTAATGCTAACTGCAACCTCCAGCTACAAAATATCCAATCAAATGAATAATGCCAAACTGTAACCTTATAAGGGAGAAAAAGAGGTTACAATGTAAAGAAATAGCATATAAGGCAATGCCTTGCTTTGGATGTGAATCCACTGAGCCGGTGCTGCACAAATAAACACTGCTCCCTGGCAAGATGCCTGGGTGTCTCGTCTCTCTGTGACGACTCCCGCTACAGTAGGTGTTGTGGATGCAACAGTGAAAAGAAAACAAAAATCTCAGCTCACAAGGAACTTACATCTACTCAAGGAAAACAGACAATAAATATAAAGAATAAGTAATGTATTATGTTGGATAATGTTAATTGCTAAAAAGAAAAATTACATAGAAAAGGTAGGTAGAATATACTATGGGTATTGAAAATTATGCCAAAGAGCCCCATAGAGTTCATGTACATATTCTGTTAAGCAATTCCTAATAATTTATAAAATGCTGCCATTATATAAGGCATGTTATTTTATTTTTCTAGGTTATTGTTGGCATACAGAAATGCCATTGATGTATTTACATTGGGCTTATACCTATCTCTCATTAAATCGAATACATTCCTTTTTTTAAAATATATCAATATTTTTATTTTGATATTGTTGGGTACAGTTAAAGGTTAGGTATACAAATATGCTTCGTTCAGGCACCCTTGTTGATAAGGGGTGTTTCCCCGTCCACAGACAAGTATTCCTACCATTAATCCCACCTCCCTTCCCCTCCCCCCATAGTTTCCCACCATGATGGATGGATGGATGTTCAAGCTCTACTGTATGACTGAGAACATGTGATAATTAGATCTTTGTTTCTGTGAGAGGTCACTCAGTATTACAAATTCTAGTTCCATCCAGGTTGCTGTGAAATTCAGATTTTGTTCTTTTTTATGGCTGCATAGTATTCCATTCTGTGTATGTACCACTTTTTTAAATCCAGTCCTCTTTTGATGGACAGCATGGTTGATTCCAGGTTCTTGCTATTGTGAACAATGCTGCGATAAATATACGTGTGCAGGTATCTTTTTCATAGAGTGATTTGAGTTCTTCAGGATACATTCCCAGTAGGGGAATTGTGGGGTCATATGGGAGGTCGATATTTAGAGCTTTTAGGAATCGCCACACTGTTTTCCACAGAGGTTGCGCTAGTTTGCACTCCCACCAACAGTGTAGAAGTGTTCTCTCTTCGCCACACCCTCTCCAGCAACTGTTATTTTTTGAGTTATTGATAATTGCCATTCTGACTGGAGGTAAATGGTATCTCAGTGTGGTTTTGATTTGCATCTCCTTGATGATTAGTGAGGTTGAACATTTCTTCATGTGTCTGTTGGCTGCTGGAATGTCTTCCTTTGAGAAGTGTCTGTTCATATTTTTTGCCCACTTGATCATGGGGTTGTTTGTTTTTGTCTTTTCAGCACGTTTGAGTCCCTTGTAGATCCAAGATGTTAAGCCTTTGTCAGACCTGGAGTTGTCAAATTTCCCAGTCTGTGGGCTGTCTTCCTGCTCTCTTGATGGCTTCTTTGGCTTTGCAGAAGCTTGTCAGTTTAATGAGGTCCCACTTGTCTATCTTATCTCTCT